ACTAGGGTGAAATGCTCTTTGTGCAGGGGTTCTAAGAAGACCAAGAAGTAAATCCTTGGAAGTTGATTCCAAGGACTTGGTGGGTCTTTTTCCGTATTTTGTTTTTAGATTTGCAATTAAGTTTATTGGCCACTTGTTTTGGTGTTCGGTTATTTATAAGGCAGACTTTTAGCCTATATGTCAGTGAAAGTTCATGGATTTCTATTTATGCTTTTCTATTATGGAGTAATACTTTTAACCTAAATGCGCTGGTTTCCTTTGATTTTGCTTTTATGGTCTCGTGTGTACTTTACACCGCGTCTTGGTGGGACCCTATTTCTCATGTTCCCCTACTAATAACTCCCTCTGTCCACCTAAGATCTTCTTGTGATTGCACGTTACGAGATTTGATTAATTTTATTTTCAATTTAATTTATTTGAATATAAGAGTAAAAATTTAATATATAATCTATGTAATAATAAATTACATGAAAATTTTTACAAAACTAGAGGTGACAACATTATATTATTTTATGAAATGAGTAGTAAAAATAAACAAATAAAGTAAATTAAGTTTAATCCTATGAATAATGTTTGGGAAGATTTATGGTGGACAAAGGGACTACTATGGTAGTGCTTCGTTCAACTTATTTTTTCTGCTTATTCTTATTATTGTCAGATCTGATTTATTTAAGATATGGCTTGGTCTGGTCTGATCTTATTATAGTTATAAATAAAATTATTTTTGATCTGATTATAATAAGAATAAGAATAAGTAAAAAGTATAAAAAATAAATTGAAAGGAATGCTTCATAAGGCCATGTGGTATGATGGTACGAGGGTGATGGGGGCTCGACCAGCCAAGGCTGCATCACTAGGGGGGTGGGGGGTTGTTTTAAAAAAAAATCTATTTTTTAATTTATCAAACTAATTTATGCTTTTACACTTTAATCACTCACATTATTTACATCTATATCACACATTTTTCTATAATGTTTTTATTATTTAATTAAACTTTGTAAACTGAAATGGGTTGAACTTTTTTGGATGGAGTGAGTATATCTATGTATTTTTTAATTAAATGGCTAACAAAAATAGTTAGAAAAGTACTTATAATTTGATCTAATAAACACAATTTAAATTGGAACGGATAATGTATGGTATTCGTTGGATGTTCTTTGATATTGCCTTTTTAAATATTTTGATATTCAGTGTAATTTGTACTCTTTATTAATAAGAATTCTTGATATTTTCATTGAGTATTTTTATTATAGGAGTAATTGCTTTCTGACATTGGAGTTTATAATATCTAAAGCCATGGCAACGTTTATTTAGCATTATTGTATTTTTAAATTTATTTGATGAAAATATGGGTGTTTTAATAATTTTTTAACAGTAGATTAATTTTAAAAACTCTAAATATTCATCTTTTCAAGAAGCTAAAACTTAACGTTAAAGATGTCAAACAGACAATCTTGTGCATATTTGATTGATGTTTTTGTGTCCTCATGAACAATGAGGAGTACTAGACTAGTCATAATCAGATTTGTGTATCCACTAATACACGAAATGGCTCAATCAATACAACATTTGTTTGGTGGGATAAAACTTGGGAACACCATTTTTGGGGATGAATCTTCTCTGCAATGGTCAAAAATGAGAGCATGGAAGCCATAATGTACCTTGTAGACTTGGCTTTACCCATTCACTTGGGAGCAGTCACATTCCTTTGCAACACAAGCTATATATGCCTATAGACTCCTTTGGTAGCGTGGAACTGTCGCATACATCAAGTCATGGTCGCGTCTCGGATAGTGCCTATATTTGAAGAGATCATCGTCGCTGCCTTGGTTCGCTGCTCTTCCTCCTTGTGGTGGGGTGGGGCCCACAATTGCAGGCGTGTTTGGATAAATGCACGTCCCGAGTTTCACTATGAATGTTACCGTGGTGCCCTTCCATGCACCCTCGCTTTCCACCCATATATGACCCCCCATCAGTTGCACAAATCTGAGATTCACACTCATTGAGATTAGCATCACCAAAACTTGTGTACTCAGATCTTTTTAATGGGTTTTTTCTAAACCAAAATAAAAATCATTATATTAACCAGGCAGTAAATTCTGGGAGTAATGAGTCCACTTACCCCTGCTCTGAGATGTAGTAATAAAAAAAATTACCTTTTGCATATGGCGAGTCCAAGACCGGCCCCACTGTTACTTCGGTTTGAAGCGCTTCGAGGCTTGTAAATTTGGTGAAAACGAACGGTATATCTTGAGGGCTAATACCACACCCAGAATCTCTTACCTGCATAAAGAGAAGGCAGGGGGGGTAAAATTGGTACTATAATGAAGGATACACTCAAACACAATTTTATTTTTGAGTATTTGTACAATTTTATTTTGAGGACTTGTAGAAACTCACTTATCATATAAAGAGAAAAAATTAAAAGAAAGAATCGATCACATTTTGGTTTTCTTTCTTTGCATTTCCATGGTAGAACAAAGAGAGAGCCAAACCTGCACGTGTAGATAAAAGTAGCCCTCACAAGATGGAGGATAAAACTCAGAGTGCCGACCTCTTATGTAGTCTGGTTTGGCAGCAGAAGCCTCTATTGAAACTTGACCTTCTCTTGTGAACTTAACAGCATTCCCAGCAACATTCAACAAGATTTGTGTCAGCCGTTTGGCATCTCCGGAAACATGGATAGGAACATCAAGAGCTAAAGATAAAGCCGTTGACAGTTTCTTCACTGCTGCAATAGGCTTTATCATATTCACAACCTGCAATAACATTCAGCAACCACCATCATTGTGTCAGCTCCTTGTGTCTGTGTTCTTGCTTTGTTCGTGCTAATGTGCTAACTAAGTGGTGTTTCTCTGTGTTTATAAGCACGTCAAAACTGTTTATAAGTAGTTTTTAACTTATAAGTCAGCTGATGTGCTTATAAGTCGACTTATAAGTTGCTTATAAGGTACTCCGTAAAAAATGAGGAGGTCTTACGTACTTATTTTTAAAACAGTTTTTTTGTTTCTCCATTTTGACCAGATTGTTTTCAAAATTCTCCCTCACCATTTATAAATATTTCCAAAAGACATATCTATCATTCAAGTCATTTTACTTCTATGAAACAATATTTGGCTTATAAGCAGCTTATTAGTTAAAATCTGATTATCAGCAATAGGTCAATAAACACTAGCACAGAGAAACACCATCTAAGTATACTCTTGAGAATTTACCTCTAAGAGCAGTGCATGAAGATTAAATGTTCTAGTCTCCAATTCAAGACCGCCATCTTCAAGTCTGGAGATATCCAGTACATCATTAATCAGTGTTGCTAGAAGATTGCTACACTTGAGTACAGTTTCCATCATAATCCTTTGTTCTGGATTTAAGTCTGTCTCTAAAAGCAGTGAAGACAAAGATATGACCGAGTGCATTGGCGTTCTCATCTCATGATTCATCACGGATAAGAAGTCGTTGCGCGCGTGGATTGCCATCTCTGCCTCCTGCCGGGCCAAGTCCAAAGCAATATTCTGCTGCATCAGCTGATTGTGGGCCCGCATTGACTCCTCCAAAATCGCGGCATGAGAAAGAGCCACAACAACCTGAAACAACATTTGGATTTGACTTAATATGAAACTTCGGGTGTTCCATAATGTTGGGCCATGCGTGCACCAATGAGGGATTATATCTTTCAACAAGGAGTTATATAATGGGAAACCATTCAGGAGAAAATATTTGGAAAAAAACCTGATCGGCCACAACTTAGACTAGTTCTAGTTCATGTTCCCGCCATTTTCTCACGTCATTCATGGGAAGAATAAGAACCATAACAGCAAAAGTTTTTGCAGAAAGTTCAGGCCAGTCGTTTATTTGGAAATTTGATAGATGTATAAGAGGAACGCGAACAGCTGCAACTTCAGGAGGAACATGTCTCCCTACGTTAACACCAGAAGACCTAATCCTAGCCAGCTCACAAGAATGTGGAATCAACATTGCTCCCGGGCTGTTGAAAATATCACAGACAATCCCAAGATTTGTCGGCACTGTAGACCTAACCGGTATAAGGTTATTAAGAGTGTGCGAAAGCTGTAAAACCATGCCTCTTTGAGACGGCATCCACAAAGCACATTCTGCCAAGTCTAAAGTCCTACCAAGCTCAACTAGGGTAGTTCTTAATATCGTGTGCCTATCAAGAGTACTCCTAATCTCATGAGTCAACATTCTAACATGCCTCCTAGTCTCTTCTTGTTTGATTATCAGTCCCATTTCCCGGTCAAGCTCTTCTGCCCGTGTTTTCAAGAACGTCTCTCTTGTTTTCACACTCAGCAGGTCAGGAATGATGTGGACAAGCATGAAAGCAGTCGCGCACGAGACAACAGTAGTTGACATTTTGGAAATGGCCATCACTATGGCGACGGTCTTGGAGTGGGTGGAGAAAGTCCAGAGGTTTATCAAGTGGGTCGCTCCGCAGAGAACAATGAAGGCTCCAAATTGCATCAGAACCCATCTGTAAGGGAAACAGGCCGATTTGTGGACAAAGTAAATAAGCTCTAAGGGGATGGAGAAGTAAGCAAATGCTATGAAGAAATCTGAGATGTATTGGTATTTCACCAACAGCTCATCTGCGGGGGGTAGGACCTCAACATAGTCACATGAATCCATCACCCAATACTTGCAGGAAAAAAAGATCTGAAAAACCGAATTACACAAACAAACGTCATAAGAGATGCATTCGGCTTTGTAACCACTACGAGCTAGACTACGTAAGTGTTAAAGTATCCAACAATGGAAAATTAGAGAATGAATAATTGATTAATAAGGCCTTGAATTGAAGTAAACAATCGATTCGATTCAATCTTTTTAGGGCCCGTTTGGTGAAGACTAAACATGGTTCGTATTTTACACCTCCAACAACCCATCCATGTTGGCCGTCTCACGACTGTCACTACTCACTAACAATCATCATTTCACATCTTCCCAAACAATTAAATTTCAAATTTCAAGACTCATATATGGAGTATCTTTTTACAGGTTTCAGAACCCATAAACAACCCTTGATGCGATTTGGTCTACGAGTCTTATGACCCAGTTGAATGACTCCTACCCAATCACAAATTCTATGACTACTTGATTAAATTCAATCTTTTTAGTTTCGTTAGACCCGTGTGCATTATGATCCACCCGAGCAACCGAGATCCAATCATGAATTCTCTCGCGAGAAATGTTAAAGCCGGCCTCATAGATCTGCTCCTACAAAACCCCTACTACTCCTTCAGCTACCCACAAACAGGCACACCCAAATAAACCGCAAATATGCACCAAACAGGCCCCAAAAGAATGGACAATACTACACCATATATCAGTAGTGCAGGTACTAGCAATGGAACAGTTACTCAATTTCAGCTAAGATATACTACTGTTTTGCCAATTCATGAAAGATTTTTACTGAATCCAAACTCGAACACCTGTGAATTTCTGGGAAAAAACGTACCAACCCTCCCTCTCATTTCACCAAGAACACTCATTCCTGAGCAGGGATTCAAAAGACCATGAAAACAAAATACATTAATGAATCCTTAAAAGTACCTGCTGGTGCTGGGAAGATTAGAATATGGCTGAGCTAATGGAGCATTGTTTGTTGGGAGGGGGATAACTCCAATTTGTTAGGGATGAGAGAAAACGGCAGATATGTATAAAGTTGAACTCTAGTCACGGAGTCAAAATATGAGTGAGTCTCAAATTAAAGAGGTACCGCTGTCTAATCACGGAGTGAGATAGATATATAGACAGGGAGGAAAAATCTGTGCCCACGGAGGGAAAAAGCACAGAAAAATAGGAGTTAACTTTGTAGTTAGACCAAACAACGTGGAGTGGCTTTTCAATTTCTTATAACCAACTTAATCCAAATTACGGACTAAACACTCAAGAAGAATCGGATCCGGACCGAACATGGTTCTCATACCATGTTAATTTTTTTGGTGGACTGAGAACAACGAGCAGAGTAATGAGTAAAATTAATTAATTGCATATAAATTCGAGATCCACTTTCTAACTCAAAAATTTAAACTGATAAGTAGAGTTTCACTTTTCTATATATGATAGTGGTGTTCTTCTTTAGTTTTCTATGTGAAAACTCCAACATATACTTGCAATTGAAAAATTGAATTGAAAATAAATCAACCAACCTTCGTAAATCGAAATGAAAACTCAATTTCGGATGTGATGGTGTAAAACCAATGTGGGTATTAAGTCACTATAAGCGGAAGAGTAGTAGGTGGAAACACCTGTAACCCGGTTTGTTATTTATAATATGGGAACCGATTACAACTTACAAGCCGTGTAGATTATTTATTGTTTGTCCTCTTTATGAGGCTTTCCTTCCTATTTATATTAAGAAAAATTTGCAATAAATAGGATTGTTTATAAATTTCTCTTATAATAATAATAACAAATACTCCGTACACTGTTTATGAGTACTATTCATATCAAATCATCCACTTTGGCTTGTTAGAACCGAGTGGACCAGCACCCGGTCAATGCCGATACCCGGCCAGTCTTCAATCCTTCTACGGATCAAGTCACGAGCTTACCGGTCTGGCCCTCCGACATCCACTCGGTCAGATTACCAGGGACGGTGAGGTCAAGCATCCAGTCAGACTTTGGTACCTACCGGACGCCTTCGAACATGTCAGATGGTACCAGTGGGTTATACCCATCAGGATGGAGGAAATAATACTTTCCTTTCATATTTTCCCTCTTCTTTTTCCCCTTCACACACTAACCAAATATTCCTCCTTTATTAGAGATGAACATTATGTGTCGTGTGACACCCACTTCATCAAGGAGCTTGATGACTTAAAAATGGTAAAGTCATAAACTAAGATTAATAATTACGCAGTACATAATTAATGCTAATTTTTTTATTTTTTAATTAAATTAAATGTGAGATAAATGAGATGTAAAGATATAATTGGAAAGAGTAAAATGAAAGGCTCATTATAGATAGCGCCACTTCTTTTAGTTATAGGGCCAGTGTGGGGAGTTTGGGGGCGCAATATAGGTTCCATGGTGGGCTTTAACACCCATTTACAGGCCGGTCTTATAGTGTGATACTCCGTATTAAAAAAATCACTCATTTTAATATTGATTTTGGAATAAATATAATGTTATTTTAAAATATATTCCCTTCTTCTTAGAAAGAATAAAACTACACACACTTCACTATTCAAAATTCAAGAATTTTTTTATTTGTATATTTTAATTGATTATTTGATAAAATAAAATATTCTCGTCAAATCTTATTTTGTAGAACTGTGTTGACGTAGTTTTAAATTATGTAAGTTTTAATTTTTCATTTATATACTAATCTTTAAATAAAATAAATTTTAAAAAATTAAAATAACGTGTGAAATAGTTTGAGACGAATGCGATATACATTACGAAGTACTACATAATAGAGTAGTTAAAATAGCTTTTTGGATAGCTTTTGGCATATTTGACTAACTTTGGATTTTTTAACTGGGCGAACAACCAAAACCATTGTTTGGCTAATGGCTTTTTCACTTGGCATTTTGATCCGAAAAGCCAAAATTTGAAATGCCAAGGGTAGTAGCATTTGGAATTGGCTGTTAGAAAAATTAATTTTTTAAAAGTCATTTTTCTTGAAAGATATTTTATAATACGGAGTATATGTTAAAACTAAAAATAAACATAAAAGTTAAAAAAATTAAATACTGAAAAAAATAAAAATTAAAAATTAAAAATTTCAAAAAAAAAATGAAATGAGAAAATAAAATGTAAAAATCATTAAAAAGTTGTAAATTAATAATTTCTTAAGAATTAAATGAAAGTAAAATTAATACTCCATATAGTAAAGATTTTATTTTTACATGTAATAAAATGAAAAATAAATATTGTGTGTCAATATATATATATATATATATATATATATATATATATATATGAAAAACTATTTTCAAACAGCTAATTTACCAAACATTCTAAACGATCAACCAATTCATCCTGCCAGTCAAACCAGCTGAACTAAACAGTCATTCACAACAGCTGACACGAACTGGCAACAGCCAACAGCTGACAGCCAATATCTAAACAAGGCCAATGATGATAGTAATAATAATAATAATTCATGATGATGATGATAATAATAATAATAATAATAATAATAAATCTTGATTGGATTTAATCTGATCTGATCTGATTTAATCTAATCCGATTGGATCTGATTAAATCTGATTAGATCTGATCTGATTTTAGTAATAATAAAAAACTGAAAAAATAAGACGGCCCTAGATAACACACATGCCAATGGTGTTGAAGGCAACATATCAAACAAAGTACTCTTTCCCCTCCAATTGGTCGGCCTATTTCTCTCTTACTCCGTTTAATTGATAAAAGATCAGTAAATTCATTGTCTTTGATCCAGATGGAATGACATTCTATACCATCTCACTTCCATGTAAATTCATTGTCTTTCATTTAATGCATTAATCTTTTGTTGTAAAAAAAATTACTCTAAATAAAAATAAGAGCAAAATTTAGAAAAAAAATCAAAATAAAAACTAAATATTTTTATCCTCAATATAAGAGTTTCCACACGGTATATAGATATTCCACAATACTTTTTAGGTGAGACTAAAGTCCGCTGGCAATATTGCTGAATTCACTCCTTTCATCATTTTTTCCTAATTCATTCTAGAGAAATCACATTAAGAGTAAAAAACATACAGAAAGTATAAAAATAAGAGTTTCATATTTTTATTCCCAAAATAGAAGTTTACATTTTGCACCGCGACAATGTGACACTCTATATGGATATTTCTCGATATTTTTTGGTATTATATATTGATATAATTGACATTATATTTACATTGTAACTCCTTTTTGAAAATAAAGGCATTGAACTTCTATTTTAGTGCATTTTCTAAATAAGAATAAAACATCGAAAAAGACCTAAAATAAAAATTTCGTGTTTTTATTCCTAAAATAAAAGTTTACATTGTGATAATATGATACTATATAAAAATGGAACTTGTATTTTACTTATAAAAAATCAATTCAGAAAATATAAAAATGGAACTTGTATTTTACTATCTCCGTCCTAGTGTAGTTGTTCAGTTTGACTTTTTTGAGTCAAATTGGACAAACTTTGAACTCTAATTACTCTCACTTTATATTATATTGCATATTAGCATAATGAAATATAATTCTGAAAGTTCTCAATACGATAAATCCAATAAAGTCATTTTTATGTTAAAATACATTATGATTTTTATTTAATTGAGCTCAAAGTTTGTCCAGTTTGATTCGAAAAAATCAAACTAGACAAATACACTGGGACGGAGAGAGTACTTATTTTTCCCATAGTTTACCCCTGGTGTAATCTTTTTTTATCTTTTTCTTCAATCTAAAATAATTATCATGCTTTAAATTAGGACCATTATTAAAACGTAACGTTCGAATGACATATTAAACGTGGATTTGGGCAGTGTGCAAATTACAAGGCGCATCCCAACATAGTAACATGAACGTGCAAAGACCTGACATTATATTATATACTCCTCTCCGTCCCCAATTTGATTACAAATTACAGTTTACGGAGAGAAATATCTCACTTTTTAAAACTATTTTATTTATAAATTGATATATCGATAAAAAATAAAAATTATATATTAAAAAACTTCGTCAAAAGTTCTACAAAACAAGAGGTGACAAGAATATATTTTATTTTATCAAATACTTAATGAAATCGCGTAAACAAACAAAAGTTATCGAGATGAGAGAAAAAAATTGCAATCTAATTGGGGACGGAGGGAATATCTTCCATGGCACCCAATTCAATACTAACTTCGTCCAAGTGTATTTGTCTAGTTTGATTTTTTCGAGTCAAACTGAACAAACTTTGAACTCCAATTACTCTCAATTTATATTGCATATTAGTATAATGAAATACAATTTTGAAAGTTCTCAATACGATAAATCCAATAAAATCATTTTCATGTTAAAATACATTACAGTTTTTATTTAATTGAAGCTCAAAGTTTGTTCAGTTTGAATCAAAAAATTAAACTGGACAAATACATTGAGACATAAGGAGTATTCATTAAATTCAAACTATTTAACTACTGCAAAAGTTTTGCAGTCCTATGCTGTACATAACTAAATTTTGGAGTCCTTTGTCACGGAGTATTTAATTTTCTTTTTTTGGAAAACAAATTCTACTCGTATATGTATTAAAATAATGGGAAGTTTAGTTTGAGATACGTTAATGTTATTTCATATTCTTTTTTTTTAAAAAAAAAAATGGGAAGCTTAATTTAACACGAGTTAATGATTTGCGGGTATAAATTCTCTCTCTTCAAAAAACAATGTGCATAAAATTTCAAAATTTAAATCACCACACAATTTCTAGAATATAAAATTTAATTTATAAAGTTAAATCTATAGTATGGAAATTAGAGTATGGAAAGTGTTTTAAATATAACCAAATTTTAGAATCTAAAATCTAATAATTAGAATTTGGAACTTGTCTCTGAGGTTGTTCCAAAATATCGGCCAGACTTATCTTTAAGAGTTTATTTATTTTCATAAAAATATTACAGAGTATCCAAAATATTAGCTCTTTATCACAAAAAAGAGTGTTT